TTATTATTATTATTATTATTATTATTATTATTATTATTATTATTATTATTATTATTATTATTATTATTATTATTATTACTACTACTATTTTTATTAATACTATTATTATTAATACTAATATTGTTTTGTTGTTATAACAAAATTCCCACTAAAAGAATTCCCACTAAAGGAATTGCCACCAAAGAAATTTCCACTAAAATAATTCCCAATAAAAGAATTCTCACTAAAGGAATTCTCACTATAGGAATTCCCACTAAAATAATTCCCACTGAAAGAATTCCCACTAAAATAAATTCCAAATAACAAAATTCCCACTAAAGAAATTCTCACTAAAATAAATTCTAAATAACAAAGTTCCCACTAAAATAATTCCCAATAAAGGAATTCTCACTAAAAATTTCCCACTAAAGGAATTCCGTTAAAGAAATTTCCACTAAAATAATTCCCACTAAAGGAATTCCCACTAAAAAAATTCCCACTCAAGAAATTGCCACTAAAAGAATTCCCACTAAAAAAATTCATATTAAAAGAATTCCCAATAAAGGAATTCCCACTAAAAGAATTCCCACTGAAATAATTCCCACTAAAAGAATTCCCACTAAAAGAATTCCCACTAAAAGAATTCCCACTAAAGAAATTCTCACTAAAATAAATTCTAAATAACAAAGTTCCCACTAAAATAATTCCCACTAAAGAAATTCCCAATAACAAAATTCCCACTAAAGAAATTCCCACTAAAGGAATTCCCAATAAAAATCCCGCTCTGCTCCAGCCGGCCCCCAAAAGCTGCAACAAATCCAGCAACAGGAGGAGCCCAAATTATTATTAATGTTATTATTATTATTATTACTATTATTATTAATACTAATATTGTTATTGTTGTTATAACAAAATTCCCACTAAAGGAATTCCCACTAAAAGAAATTCCCACTAAAAGAATTCCCACTAAAAGAAATTCCCACTAAAAGAATTCCCAATAAAGGAATTCCCACTAAAAAAATTCCCATTAAAAGAATTCCCACTAAAGGAATTCCCACTAAAAGAATTCCCACTAAAAGAATTCCCAGTAAAGAAATTCCACTAAAATAAATTCCAAATAACAAAATTCCCACTAAAGGAATTCCCACTAAAGGAATTCCCACTAAAGGAATTCCCACTAAAGGAATTCCCACTAAAGGAATTCCCACTAAAAATAAGACCAGGAATAATTTCATGATTTCTAAAAGAAATTTGAC